AGAAATTTACTTTTCTTTCTTCTTTTTTATTTTTAGTCTTTAAATAAGTTACCTGCATATTAGGGAATTTTTCAAATTACTCCATTATTATAAATCACAGCCATGAAGCTAAAACACTCATCTATTAGTTGCTAATTCTGTGGAAGCTTCCAAGTTGCTGTGATGCTGGTGTTATGCTATCTATTTTTCTAATACTAGTAAGTCACTCGCAGTGAACACGTCTCAGCAGACTTTAGACTAACACTGACTAGATAAGGTAGTAGGAATGGCCATATTATTAGGAAATATCGAGGTTTTGAAGACTCTCTAAATAGCATCATAATGTTACCTGATAGAATGAGAGAGGATGAGTCTTTCAGGTTGCAAGGCACTCAAATCTTGTCTGGAGAAGTGTTGTCTCTTGTGGTACTAGACTAAAAGTTCCAGACACGTAGTTTTACAAATGTATCAACAGCTGTGAAACTAGGATAAAAAAGAGAGTGCTTACCACATTAAGTAGTAAGACTTGTGGGAGCAAGACTTAATTAAGGGAGAGTGGAACAAGACCATGTTGAGAGTATGACCTTAGTGACCAGACCCTGGGTGACAATGGTGGAGAGACTGTGTTATTCCTGTGGAGAAACTATGGCAAGGTATGACCTGCGGCTTCTTACATTCATGCTGACCACAGTTACAGGTTTTAGTTTTCCACTAGCTGAACTGAAACCAGAGCCTGGACTACTTGAAGAATTGTGCCTTGGGATTGCATGACTAAAACTTGCATTTGCAATTGGATGATTTTCTTTGCCTTTCCCACTCTCCAACTTCTCAAATAAACCCCACAACTGTGAGTCTGTGAGTCAACGATAACGAAACAAACCTCTTGCTACTTTTGTGAATCGAGAGGTACCCTGGGGCTGAGCAATGGGCTCTTTATCTGCTTTCTGCTCTAGGACAGTGTGGGATTGTGATATTCTCACTCCCTCTGGCCCTTTCAGAGAGATGTTCATGGCCCTGTGCACCTGTGTCCTGTTGTTTGCTCTCTAGACACCTTTTCAAATTAGAAATGAATTTTAAGAATGAGATAAAGCTTTCAGCCAATAAAGGAATCTTTAATTGCTGATGTAGCCTGAATCAAATTGAGACAAAACTGCTCTCCATATAAATGATTCTAACACAGAATGTACCAAGTATGAATTTAGGAAAAACTGAAGTTTCCAAAAATGAAATGTAATGCATAAAGTTTCATATCCTAGTCATTAGTGATAAAAAAATGATCTAATGTTGGTCATTTTAAATCAGACAATCACATGACCTACTATGTTGACAATGACAAATTAAAGAGTAATAGTATCACTTTGATCATCAAAAAGAAGGTTTTAAGATTTATTTCTCAAAAGCACAATATTATCCACAGCCATGAAAGAGAGACCTTGTTGAAATGGTCACAAATGCACTAATGAACAAAGGCAAAGATGAAGAAACCAGACTTGATCTCTGCAGTATGAAACTGAGCAAACGTTCAGTCAGGATGCATTATTAATAATTATTGACTAGAGGGTAAAAGTTCGAAACAAAGAAGGATTAGCAGTTGGAAAATATGTCCATGGTGACATAAATGAGATTGAATATCACCTAATAAAATTTTGTACAATGATTTGTTCATTGTAAAACCTTTTTAAAATCTGTAGGTAGTGACAACACACTTGAACTTGGCAGATGGTATAGCACAGAATTAAATATATCTATGGAAAGAAACAACGGAAGAGCTCGGTGTCATAAGTTAACAAAACACAGGAGCAGACCATGGAACAGACCATCAATTGTTCACATACAAGTACAAACTGACACTCAAGAAAATAAAAATGAGTTCCCAAGAGTTACAATATGACCTTGAGAGTATTTCCACCTAAATCTAGAAACCACCTCAGATATAGATATGAAACATTCAACACTAATGACCAAAGAGTAGATGAATTATGTGACAGCATTAAAGACGCCAGGCATGAAGAAAACAAAAGGCCATTAAAAGAAAGAAAAGATCAAAATGGATATAAAAAGAGACTTTGAAACTGGAGAAGTGCAATAAACCACATGATCACTTCCTTCCCCATTAATTTGTAAAATGTAGAAATGCCCTTTTCCTCAGAGTCCATGTATCTTGCATCATTGATCTTAAAATAAAATCAAATGCATTAATAAAGGAAATGCACTTTTGTGGCATTAATATGCATAAGAAAACTCAAGCATATGATGTACAATTTAAGATTAATGTTTTTCACATTGTCTTACATTTCCCTAAGCAAGTATTGCTATCCAGAACATAATCAGCCCATCAGTAATTTGACTCAAAAGATCTTAAAAACAGAAAGTCAGCATTCATAAGAAGAAAATAAGGCTAAATAAGAAAAAGAAAAATAAATAAAATAAATTTAAAAAAAAAGAAAAGAAAAAGCAGAGTCAAGAAAGGTTTTCCTGGTCAAACTTCAGCATATATAGTTACAAAATTTGCACACAATCCTACTGCTTTTTCATATATCCCGAGATATTTCATCAGTTTCCTTTACTAGGCACAGAATTATTATTAAACATTGCAAAGTTACAGTAAGTGGTAACAAGATACATCTTGTACATGAACACTGAAACCAGGTTCTTGCCTGTGACTGACATCTTTCACTAGATTTGTAGCAGAAAATGTTGACAACACAGAAACAGCAGCTGTACACTGAATAGCAAAGGAACTTCTGTAAAAGGGGAAGAAGAAATACTTTTAAAATGTGTTGCAACAATGTATCAAATGATATGACATAGCTCAGAAATAAGAGGAAAAGTGAGCAAAAGGACAAAAGACAAAGATGCTTCACTGGAGAGGAAGGAAAAGTGTCAGGATTCGTGAACAGTTCATATTTCTAGAAAACCAGTTTTAACCACATGTGTTGTAAGTAAAACCTATTTAGCATCAGCCATAAAGAAAAGAAAATATAGGTATATATGTGTGTATGTGTGTGTGTGTGTGTGTGTAAACCTTAAAAATGTGCATGTGTGTGAGAGAGAGAGATAAAATTGACATAGTAAATTGATATGACATCAGAAGCTTCAAAAATTTTGTCAAATTCATTAACAAAAAAGTGCACAATTGTGAACAAGATCAACCAGATGCTAGCACAAGGGGGAAAAATACAGTGGATTTTCACTAGAAAGAATGGGAAGTTTAGAAATGACAACATTAAATCAATCAATGGGCTTTCCTATAGATGGGTTATCAGAATGATTGCATTTCAAAATTTTATATTATGCCAATGATATTGCACCCTTTAAAAAAATTTCACTAGACTCATTTAGACAGATATAGAGGTCATCGGTTCTCTAAATCTTCTGTTACTAGGTTGTAATTATAGAAAATATATTCTAATTGCATTGCAAGTGCTTATGATTTTTAAATTTATTATCTTATCAATATCTCTCAAGTAACAACATTCACAGGAAATAAAATCTTAAGAGATAAAAATATGGATGACTTTGGAAACAGGATTTACAGGTTTACAGGATTATGTAAAATTCTGATTTTAACTACTACTAAATGTAGAATACATAATATGTTGACCTTTACAATCCTTATTCTCCTTATGATTAAAACTCATCTATCAGTCGGAGTAAAAGAAAATAACTTGCACAAATTACCTAAAATAATAATTAGCACAAAACAGAGGCGGACAATCTGTTCTTGTTAGATTTATAACTTCTGAAAACCCACGCGGAGGGTCAGCTGTGGCTGGGTTCCTTACTCTAACACAAGTCACAGCAACAACAAAGCCCTGCGTAGAATCACAACACAGGAGAGTTCTTATTGGTGCATTGGAGTTTTAAAACGTATAACAACCACAATGATCTCACCTGCGACTCAAGACTACTTCAGAGTCAGGTGGCAAACTCAAATGATGAGATTTGAAAGTGAAACTATCATAAACAAGATATTATGATAGCAACTACTTTGAGAATTTGATGTTAAAGTTAGTCTCTTCTCCCCAAGCCCTCGCTAAATACTTATTTAAAGGAAGATAGACCCAAAAGACATAAACGCTTCCTCGTAAACTCTCACAGTGATAGCTAATCTATTTTGAGTCTCGTGAAAATAGTTCATTTTATTTCCCTTATCTTGCCCACATATATTTAGCTTCTCCTCACAATCAACTACTTCCAGAGCCTTTGAATCGGAAATTGTCAATCCTGCCATTTGTGCAACTTAAATTAACTGTTAGGAATGATTGATAATGAATACACATCAGAGATAGTCATTCGTTAGTTACTAGAACTATCCTTGATTTGCGAGGCTTTGTTAATAGTTATTTTCTTTCCTATAGCCTCTTTTATTATCCTTTAAAGCTACATTGAAAGAATTTGTTCAAATTTGTATTAGAATTTGGTAAATAAACTAGTGGGGAAAAGTCAGCTTGGGGAGGGGGAAGGAAGGGAGAGGGGGTAAAATGTGCAACAATGAATGAAAAATTAACTTTTCTGTAAACTTGCTAATATGACAATTAAAATATCTTATTTAAAAAAAACACATCAGAAAAAAACTACATACATGTTTGGCACAGGTTGAAGCAGCAAAGATTTTCTATAGCAACATTCTTTAGAACAATAGAGACATCTTGAAGTCTTAGAGCAAGTGTAATCAATATAAAGTAACTATCTATAAGAGAATGAAAGAAACCACACCATTAAAGATGAGAAGTTCTGATAGTGATTAAACAGAACTAAACAAAAAGCCAGCTTGCATTTTCTGTTACATGTAGCTTATTTTTATCAGACAAGTTTCTGTACCTTTTTCCTGTCTCTCTTTTAGACAAACGCCTGCAATGCTAAAGCAGAAATCTTGCAATACACTTGTAAATGAATCTCTGCTACATTCATACCGTTAGCCTCTGAACAGAACAGATGTCAGAAAGTAAAGATTGGCTGCCTGCAGATCAAGTTGCTGCTGCCAAGTCTCGCGAGCTTTGTCACTAACAGTTGATTGTAATGTCAGAGCAGTCCAATTTACAGATTAGAGCAGCGGATGCATTCTGCATTTCCCTGAAGTATTACATGATCGCAACTTCTTGCAAACTTTATCATCTTTGTTTCAAGGATTCAGGGGTAAGTTGCACTGAATTTACATCTCTTTGTAGCACAAGGGACAGTGAAATTCATCCTGTTGGATTCTGATCCTTTCAGGAGTTGCTGTGCCTCTTTGGTGCTCTGGGGAGACAGTCACTGGAGCTTATAAATGAGACAAATAAAGCAACCGAATAGGCATATGTAGTAAATCTCCCTATTACTCAGGGAACTCAGGTTAAGCCCATTTAACTGCTGAAGAAATGAGGCAAAATTGTAGCCCCGGAGAATCCTTGTTATGTATGTTGTTTCGGACCTCCCTAAGGAGAAAACCTTTTTATGCTGAATTTTAACCATAAATGTATAGTGAATCTTTCCCTGGAAGAATAACAAAAGTACTCTTTTGTTTTGTTTGACTAGTCTTGCTATTTTTTTTTTCTCTACTCTTTCATTTTTTTAAATAGCATGAAGTGAACAGTTCCTTTATTGCCTGGTTTAATAGAGTACTTAAACTACACTTTGTCATTTGAAACTTTCACATCAAACGTCAAGTGACAGGTCTACATTTCTTTTTTTAACAAGAAAATCTGTTCACTACAAACTTTACTCTTAATTTTGTCTTTATTTTTCTTTGTGTTTAAATTGTAGCATTTTAAAAGATATTTCTAGATTATTTTTATTTTAGAAATACTAACCCAAGTATATAGGCTTTTTACATATTTTAATCATGTTAATAAGGCATTTGCTTAATTAAGAGATTAAGCTTTAAGAAAATATGTATATTTAAAATAGAATTTATTTATGAACATAATATTTTATTATATTTATTTCTATTTACAATATATGGCTTTTAAAGTTTATACACATGCTTCCAAATATTTATGACTATATTTTATGATAATAAAGTTAATTAGAAATTATCACTAGCCTTTGTAAGATCTCTTGATATAAATTTTCTCCTGTTCCTTGATAAATGCTACTCTTATTTCATTAACACATTTGTTACTTCAAAGGCACAAAGAAGATTGAAAACCTGTCCTTACAATTCACAATGCAAATTTCTAGAGTTAACAATCTAGAAGGAAAATGCCAACTACAATTTCTGTTTGAATTTGCAAAGTACTTTTCAATTCTTGTAGTGGTTTTTTTGAGGGTTTTTTTTTTAATTGATTTTGATTGTTGTTGTTTTTTAGTATCCTGCTTCTTTAAATCTAAGCAAATGGGGATTTTAAAATCGTAGTTTTACTTTTATAAAATATAGGCTAATATTTTATCCTTTCACAGCTCATTTATAATATTAAAATTTTTTTAACAGATTAACAAGACATTTAAATCAAATATTCTTTTAATTTGATGCTTTCACAACAGCATCTGCTTGATCTTATCATAACTGCTGGCCAAATGTTAGAGAAGTATACTTTGAGTGCAATGACAACTTAAAAGCACTTGACACTTTGAAAGAAGATCCAAGGCTGTTCTGTAATAATTACCTGTTCATATTATTCAATTTTCACAGAATGAAAAATTCGTGAATGACATTCATCATTGAAGGTGAGGACAGGACATACATAATCTTCAGATTTAATATACTGACTCCTCTCTGTACACATCCTTTAAGTGCCTACTGAGTGTCTGAAGAATGTTTGAGAGACAGTGCTATAGTCTATTTATAAACACACTTCCTCAATTCTATGCTTCACTTAGCCTGTAACAAAACAAGCTTTCTAGGTTTCATATAAAGGCTCAGTTGTTTTAATTTGATCAAATGTATTTTACAGTGGTTTGTCTAGATTGCATTAAAATAAGTTAAATGATACTTTTCCCAACATCTTAGGAAATTTTCTTTTCATATAGGAATATATATTTCATTATTGTTTTCAATAGGAAAATCATTTAGAAAATTCACCAAGAAAAGTGGGTCTAAAGTCAGAAAAAATGTTATAAAGTTTAAGTGGATGTCCTTTAAAATAGTCTCTGATCCCATTATTTTGAAATTCTGTTAACAGTTCAGTTATGACAATAAGTAGCATTTATGACAATAAGTGACATTTCACAGCTTAATATTACATATTTCTTCTTAAAATTGGCTAGACAGTTTTGGGGCTAATTAAAATTTTAATTAGAAACTGCAAAGAAAAGAAAACACTACTTTTTGTCTTGTCTTTTTTTAAAAAATAAATGAGAGTGTTTTTCTTAAGTATTCAGTAGATGTTGGTTTTCTAGACTGCTAAATAAAGTTCTCACACTGTATTATTCACCTTTAGTTTTGCACCACTCAAATCTCATAACTCATTGTTTCAATTCCATATTCACATTCTCACCTTCTGTTGAAAATGTAATTGTGCCAATATATTACGTTCAGTTATCTAAAATCCAATATTTAGTGGTACTTGTGAAAATTTGTTCCATTATTTACAATAAATGTATTAAGAATTGTACAACAGACCAGGATAATACACTGCAAAGAGGACTGGGGTTGGGTGAGCAGAAGAAGGTAATTGTGTAACAATGAATGAATATTAAAAAGCAACAACAAAGAAACAACCCAAAACCCAAAAGAGTGAACTGGGAGTTGAGGAAGGAAGGTGGAGGGAATAAAAGTGTGAAACAATGAATGAAAGAAAATGTAAGGCCTCTGTAAACTTTTGTTAAAATCACAATTAAAATGTAAAAAAGTTATTAAAAAAGAAAGAATTGAGGTGACGTGTACTGTTGAGTTGGAACCAACCCATAACTAACCCTCTAGTGGGTTTTCAGAGGCAATTAATCACACAGGAGGAGACTGCCCAACTTTTTCTCTCTTTTTCTCTCGTGGAGCGACTGGTGGATTTAACTTGCATGCATCGTCATTGCAGGGCAGCTCTCACCAGCCAGCAGAGCTCCTTATCTTGGGAATTAAGAGTTGAAGTATTTATTAAAGGATAGTGCAAATTTGCTCTAGAATTCTTGAGAAACTTAACAATGAAATTTTGAACAGTATCAATATAGCTCTGAAGATATATAACATTTTCTCAGAGTTTTGCAATCGCAAAGACGAGATTCGAGTCCACCGAGTGCTCCCTGGGAGAAGAATGGACAATCTCCTCCCCTTATTTTTATTGTGTACTGTAGAGTCGGAACCGAACCATAGCTCACCCACTGGTGGATTTTCAGAGGAAATTAGTGATATGGGAAGAGATTGCCCATCTTTCTTCCACGGAGCAGCTGGTGGATTCGAACTGCGTGTCTTTGGTATTGCAGTTCAGCTTCTTGCCACTAGGCTACTGGAGTTTAGACTAGGGAATATCTCATTATGAAAATTACAGTGATATTTAAATAAAGTTGCTTCACTATATATAAAATAGTCACCTATATTAATAGTGAGTATATGGATATAGAGATATTTTACTATTACACTACAGATTTCATTAAAATTGCATGCTGTTAGGGACCTCTCTAAAGTACTCAGGAGCAACAGTGTCTCTCTGGAGACTAAGGTGCACCTGATACAGGCCATGGTATTTGCAATCGCTTGTTATGCATCAGAGAGTTGGACAACGACTAGGGAGGACAGAAGGAGAGTGGATGCTTTTGAGCTGTGGTGCTGGAGAAGGGTACTGAATGTACCCTGGACTGCCAGGAAAACAAACAGATTCATATTGGAGAGGATTAAACCAAGCTACTCCTTGGAGGCAAGGATTCTGGGGCTTCGCCTGACATACTTTGGACATGTTGCCAGGAGGGACGGGTCCTTGGAGAGGGACATCATGCTTGGGAGGGTGGAGGGACGGTGCAGGAGGGGAAGACCCTCTATGAGATGGATTGATTAGGTGACTGGGGTAATCGGGATGGGTGTGTCAGAGGCAGTGAGATTGGCACAGGATAGAGCAGGGTTTAGGGCTGTTGTGCATAGGGTCGCTATGAGTCGCAAACGACCCGACGGCACATAACAACAACATCCAACAGTGAGTAGCTGAAAGATGGAATTTTATTGCCATTCTTCCAATGAACTTATGATTACAAAGCATTATTGTGAATGTTAATGATCTTATTTGCAAGGTGATAATAGTTATCTTTGTCAGAAAAAAAAATCCATATATGAATAAAACAATAAAAAAAGCACTCTACAGACATATGAATAAAAATCACAAGAAAAAATTATAAATTAACACTAATTTACACCAGAATAATATGACACAGTTTTCAGGTATTAAAGCAATTATTGATTTTTTTTTATTCATTTTAATGAGAGTTTACAGAGACTTAGGGTTTCCAGTCTTCTTTGTTGCACTTTTCTCCCTGCCTAAAGCAATTATTTTTAAATATCTGAAGTACTATATTTATTAATTATACATTAGATTTTACTATTTGTCCCCACATTGTTTTGCTTTATTTTGGTTTGTATCCAAAACATGTAAGCATTGCATATCATTTATGTAATTATGCTTCACATTACTACATTTACATTGTGTTTCAAACATCAGTCAGTCATGCAGATTGTTTTATAAAATTAACCACCGTTGATCTATGGCTTCTATGCCCTGTCTTCTCAAGCCCCCATTGAGTTGCTTCTAATTCCTTCATCTCCACCCCTACTCTGCTCACCAAACTCTGTTATCTTAGTGATTCCTCCTGTCTCGAACCTCTCCCCTCTCCCCCTCTTCCCTTCCACTTTTGGGCTTTTATCCACATCTTACTAGTTATCTTTCTATCTTTATGGTAATAGTTTTATGAAGTATTTTTCCCTATGAGACTGAGTTATTTCACTCACCATTAATAATCTGTCATAAAATTATTTGTAGACATAAAGTTTGAAAAGTATCAGAGACAAAATATTATTTTTCTATTTATAAAGTCACAATAATATTTAAATAGAATTCCCCCCAAATCAAGCAAACTAAATGGTCTTACATTAAACTCAGAGTGATATTTCTAAGTCAGGCCATTGGAAGGATCACGTACAAGCAGAGATGGCATTTAGTTTGTTGAAACCACAAAAAAAGGAGGCTAATTTTGTATAACAAAATAATTTTTAAAAAGTCTATATTGATTTGTCTAAGGAAAAAGCCCTTAATAATTATGAAGACAATGGGGGTGGCAGCCTTGGTGACAGAGCTCATAACATTTCTCTGCTTTGAGAAATATAGTTTCATTTTTTAAATTATCAATATAATTGATAATTAGAAATTATTAACTTTACAAGCATGTTTACATTGTTGTGGTCATTGTTACTGGCTGTTGAGTCAACTATGACTAATAATTACCCTATAAATGTCAGTTTTGAACCTTGCCCTAATCACCTCATCATCTCTGTACACACATGACCTTATAGCCACAGTTACTAGATCAATCCGGTTTGTCTAGGTCTCCCTCTCCTACACTGACCCTCCACCCTTCTGAGCACCTTTCCAAGTCCTTTTCCAAGGACTGGCCTCTCTAGACAACATGCCCAAAGTATATAAGACAAACGTTTCAAAATCCTTGCTTCTAAGGAGCAGCCTGCTTTCATTCTCTCTAGGACAGAACTGTTATTTTTTTTAAGTAAAATTTTTATTTTATACTGCTTTACATATGAGGTTCGTATATGTTGTTTTTTTCACATCAGATCTTTCCCTTTTCCTTTACACACACCACCCTCCACCGATCAAATTGTGTGACGTTATGGTTAACCACCACTGCCATCTTCCCACTCACCCATCATCACCTCTCTCCTCACCCCCCCACTTTGATCCTCATACATGTTCCACAATAATGGTCCTATACAGTATTTGTCCTCATGGGACTGAGTTAATTCACTTAGCATAATGCTCTCCAATCCCTCCCAAGTAAGGTAATGATTTACATACCTGTTCTTTTGGCAGTCCGCTACCAAATATTTGGAATGTTTAGTACTCCTCTCCAACAGAATAGTTCAAAGACATCAGTTCTTCTTCTGTCATTCCTTCTTCACTCTACAGCTCTCAAATTCATAGTAAGTGATTGGAAAGACTATCGCCTGAATCAGGTGCGGCTCAATCCTCAAACTGACATCATTGCTCTGGAATAACTTGGAGAGGTCCCTGACTCAGTCTTTCCCAGCGCAATACCTCTTTTGATCTCCTGACTGCTGGTCTGAAGTTTCTTAACTATGGAACCAAGTAAGATGAAGTCGTTGACAGTTAAAATCTTTTCTCCATCTGTCATGATGTTACCTATTGAAGCAACCATGGTTTGGATCAGCAATTCTTAAAGGCTTTTGATTTACTTTATACTCTTCCAAGAACCAAAAGGATGTAATTAGAACCATATACATTTCAGAGTGCATAGTGAGTGTATCTGTGTGTTTGTGTGTGTGTGTGTGTGTATATATATATATATACACACACTATATATACACACACTATTATTTATTGATTTTTATTAGTTTTATTGAAAGTTTACAGAGACTTAGGTTTTCCATTCGTTCATTGTTGCACTTTGCTCCCTGTCCACCCCCTCCCACCCAATTCACTCTTCTTCTTGAAAAGTAAAACTTTCATTATTACGCAATCCCTCCCCTCAAGTCCATTCCACTGTGCAGCCTTCATTCAGGACTCCTGTCCTGACAATATTATTTATTTTTTTTAATCTAAATTTTAAAAAGAGTAACTCTTGATGTGATGGATTGACCCAGTAACTGGAGTCATGAGGGAAGGTGGAGCAGAGACAGCGAGATTGGCCAGCATAGAGCAAGGTTCAGAGATACTGTATATTGGGTTGCTGTGAGTCATAGTCAACTCCAGCGAACATAACAACAAGAACAACTCTTAATGTCACTTTTGACAGGGCTGTTTATTGGTACTCTTGCTTTAAAAAAAAAAGAAATTAAGTGGAAAATTCCTCTTTATTAATGCTTAGATCCCACAGGATTTGTCACTTTCTAGAAATGTGCTGGTGTTTAAAACACATCAGACTTTTTACATTTTTTGAGCAGAAATTTGTGACACACAACCTATCAGACTTCTTATTTTGCAGACACAATCCTGGGGTCAACTTGAAATTATAAAAATGACTGCACTTGAACTTGTAGGATTTAGCTTCCCAACTATTATTACTCTTGCTCACGGGTGCTATCCAATAGGCATAAACTCTTAGAAACCAGTTTTTACAACAGAGCTAAACTATGCTTGATACTTTACCATCCTTACAGTTTTTATTGAGCTTAATCCTATTGTTTCAGTCATTGTGTCACTGATAGTCTTCTTCTCCCCTAACCTTCCACCTTTCTAAACATGACATCTTCGTCCAAATTTTGTCCCTCCAAATAACTTGCCCAAAGTGTTTGAGATGAAGTCTCACCATTGTTACTTGTTTTAAAAAATTATTATTGTTATTCATTTTAATGAAAATTTCGAGACTTTGGATTTCCATTCATTGTTGCATTTTTCTCCCATCCCTGCCCCCGCAGTTTGCTCTTCTCTTTGAAAAGTAAAAGAAAAATTATTTCATTGTTATACAATCCCTCCCCCCAAGTCCACTCCACTCTGCAGCCTTGTTACTTCTAATGAGTATTTTGGTAGCTTTCCTTCCAGAACAGATTTGATTGTCCTTGTGACAATTCATTGATGGTAAAGTCAATATTCTTCACCTGTACTACAATTCAAAGTCATCAGTTCTTCATTGTTCTTTCTCATGAAGTGTCTGACTCTGTATGGAACAGTTGAAAACTCAGAGGTTAGGCATAGGCTTCAAGGTGACATCTATGGTTTTCCACATTTCAGAAAGGTCCTTGGCAGCAGATTTGCCCAGTTCAAAACAGCTTTTGATTTCTTGACTGCTAATTTCATGTATGTTGATTGTAGAGCCAAGTAAGATGAAATCTTTGACAACTTCATCTTCATCTATCATGATGATACTGATTAATCTAGTTGCAAGAATATGTATTTCCTTCATGTTGAGATAGAATTCGTACTAAAGAGTATAATCTTTGATTTTCAGCAAACATTTTCTTTTTCTTCTTTTTTAAAAATATTTGATCTTTCAGCAAGTTTTCTTCATTTTCAACAACCAGGTATTGTGTTTAATATAAAAGTAATATGTATACTTAGCACATAATTCTTTTCTTAACTCGGATAGTATACCGATTCTGATTTCTGGTAAACATGATGGTATTTTTACTTAGACTGCAATATTCAGATTTGGAATTTATATTTTCTTTTGTGTCTTATGTTACATCAAGTTTTCTCAATACTATCTGTGTGACAGATCCCCATTGAGTGTTTGTGTCTCTGTTTGCAAGTATTAAAATACATTAATATTAACTTACTAAACTATTAAATCTTCCTTCAATAAATAAAGTAGAGCTTTTTGCAAAGTGAAGTAATTTTTACTTTGCTACTCCTCTTATTTCTTTCCTAAATTAAAACTAAAATATCTCCAACCCATTTTAATTGTTTTCCCTACACAAACTTTGTGGTAGATGATTGTATATGTTCATAGTTTGTAGGAGTAATGGGAAATATGATAATTATTTAACATAAATGAATCATTATATTCACAAGGCTGCTAAAATTTCCAACTCCTCTCTCTTCCAGAAATCACTATGCAGAACAAGAATACAATCATATGCATCAAATATCTCTTGTGGTTTCTTCTCCTCTGTGTGTTTTTCAAGAAGTCACATTCTGAAGAAGACGTTGTAATTACAACTAAGCATGGAAGAGTGAGAGGAATAAATTTACCAGTTCTTGGTGGCATAGTAACAGCTTTTCTTGGGATTCCTTACGCCCAGCCACCTCTAGGTAGACTTCGATTCAAAAAGCCACAGCCCCTCTCCAAGTGGTCTGATATCTGGAATGCCACAAAATACTCAAACTCCTGCTATCAGAACACAGATCAAAGCTTCCCAGGCTTCCTTGGATCAGAGATGTGGAACCCAAACACAGACCTTAGTGAAGACTGCCTATATCTAAATGTGTGGATTCCAGCACCCAAACCCAAAAATGCCACTGTAATGGTGTGGATCTATGGGGGCGGTTTTCAAACTGGGACGTCCTCGTTACATGTTTATGACGGCAAATTTCTGGCTCGGGTGGAAAGAGTTATTGTCGTTTCAATGAACTATCGGGTGGGTGCCCTGGGATTCTTATCTTTACCAGCAAATTCTGAGGCCCCAGGGAACATGGGGTTATTTGATCAACAGTTGGCACTTCAGTGGGTCCAAAAAAATATAGCAGCCTTTGGTGGAAATCCTAAAAGCGTAACTCTCTTTGGAGAAAGTGCAGGAGCAGCTTCTGTGAGCCTTCATTTGCTTTCTCCTGGAAGTCATGCGTTTTTCAATAGGGCCATTCTTCAGAGTGGATCCTCTAATGCTCCTTGGGCTGTCATGACTCTCAATGAAGCCAGAAATAGAACGTTGACTTTAGCTAAATTTCTTGGTTGTTTAAGAGAAAACGAGACGGAGACAATCAAATGCCTTCGGAATAAAGACCCCCAAGAAATTCTGTTGAATGAAGTATTTGTTGTCCCTTCTGAATCTCTCTTGTCAGTAAACTTTGGCCCCACAGTGGATAGTGATTTTCTCACTGACATGCCAGACACACTACTCGAGCTTGGACAATTCAAAAAGACCCAGATCTTGGTAGGCGTCAATAAAGACGAAGGGACCGCTTTTTTGGTATATGGTGCTCCAGGCTTCAGCAAAGATAATGACAGCATCATAACTAGGAAACAATTTCAAGAAAGTTTAAGCATATTCTTTCCAGGAGTGAGTGACTTTGGAAAAGAATCGATTCTTTTTCATTATTCAGACTGGTTAGATGACCAGAGACCTGAACATTATCGGGAGGCGCTCGATGATGTTGTTGGAGATTACAACATAATATGTCCAGCTTTGGAGTTCACCAGAAAATTCTCAGAACTTGGAAATAATGCATTTTTCTACTACTTTGAACACCGATCCTCCAAACTTCCTTGGCCTGAATGGATGGGAGTGATGCATGGATATGAAATTGAGTTCGTCTTCGGTTTACCTCTGGAAAGACGAGTTAATTACACAAAAGCTGAAGAAATTTTGAGTAGATCCATAATGAAACGCTGGGCAAATTTTGCAAAATACGGGTGAGTGCTGATTTTGTCCTTGTTCATTTTGTCATTTTATTTTACTTGGTCTCTGGTGTAGACATCGTTGAAAACAGATGAGATTTCCTTACTTACTCTATTTTTACCTGTGCTGGTTTTGTTCATTTAATATGTAATGAATTTCAATATCTGTGTCAGAATTGCTTCAAAAAAATCTTAGAAGGATTTTTATGCTTAGAGAGGGACATCATCATGCTTGGGAGGGTGGAGGGACAACGCAGGAGGGGAAGACCCTCTATGAGATGGATTGATTCGGTGACTGGGGTAATCGCGATGGGTGTGTCAGAGGCAGTGCGATTGGCGCAGGATAGAGCAGGGTTTAGGGCTGTTGTACATAGGGTCGCTATGAGTCGCAAACGACTCGACGGCACATAACAGCAACAACAACAACCCCAAAATACTGCAAAATACTCACCATATTAATCTACTATCCTTTATAAATCTATATTTTTCTTGGGAATGGAACTGAACATGATCAAGATCATAAGGTTCACAGTTTTATGGTAATTAGGAATGTAACTTCTCCAGTTACTATGCAGTGGTATCGTGGTGCTGGGTACACAAAGAAACGTGTCTGCTCTGGAAAATGCAAGGACAAGATGGGAATGGAATTGGTTTTGAGATTACTCAAATTACATGTTATTTGATATTTGTTTTTCCAAAATACTGAAGAGCA